CACACACACACACACAGCTGATTTTTACTGTCACAGCTACATCTAACTCTCAGCCCTATATCCACACCGCAGCTGCTGCAAATTTGCTCTATTGATGCTTAGTTTCATTGTTGCAGCACAATCATGCCACCTTCTGGACATTAATGGTACCCTGCTGGCTAACAGCCTCATTTTAAACAATGCTACACAACAACAAGAAAATCAGGTTTAATAGGCCCCAAAGGGAAAAGGGACCATTATCTAATAACTGTTTAAATGAATGCAATGCAGCAGTGCATTGATTAGCTGTAGTATACCGAGCTGTACAATCATTATTGGCACATGGCAGCAGAGTGCTACAATAACTGTGTAATGTCTCATTGAAATTGCAAGCTTCAATTAAGGGCTTCGGAGTATTCAAGAGTAGACAGCCACGGTCTGTTAAACATGGCTGTGCTGTAGGATGCAGACAGACAGACTAGCTTGCTTTTAACCATACAGTGCTGAGTAGTGTCTCTTCTTATCTACCTCATACACAGTACAATGGCAGCATTGTACTGTGGAGCAAAATAGCACCAAGTCAGTTATCCTGAATTAAATTACTATTTAAAGTGATGCTTCATCATTCTAATGAAACCTTGCTGAGCAGCTGTATTTAGACTTTAGGATGCAGCAGTACAGCACTTTAGCTGGCAATTTGACTTGCTGTTGCAGAAACTGCAAGAATGATAGACAACTACTGCTGACCTGCTCACAAGAAACAGGGAAAAATGATTGGATTTGGGGAATGTCTAAATAACAGAGGGAAGCAACCAATCATGGGCCATTAAGTTTGAAAATGCCTTCCTAAACACACAGACAGATGCATATACATTTTACATATTAAGTAATTGCATACAGACTCACAATGTGATTGTACATAGGCTGTACATAGGCAGATAAACAGAAGTACATTAAACAGGAAGTCCTTACCCACTGCTCAAGAGGAGACACGCATCAAAGAAAGCACCGTAACATGTCAGAGTTGACTAGGAAAGGTTTTCTGCCAGAGTCTGGATCTGACCAAGGTTCAGTCCTGATAAAAGTGAGGAGTGGTCTTGGAGGGGATGTGTCACATATGATGTAGAGCTCTCAAGCAAAATGGCCTTGATGTTATGTAAAAAAAATAATTATTTTATTATGTTTCATCATATTTGGAATGATGGAGGAGTTGTATCTTTGTGAAATCTTTGTCCAATTCGCTTTTTATTTGTAATTGTTGATTCATCAATGATACGGCACTTCTGTCATTCCTGTTTCTGTGCTCTGATGATCTTATTTAATGGTTATGTAATGTAATATTAATATAAATGCTTTTTTCGGGGGGGAAGGGAGCAGTTATGTCATTGTTATTGTTTTTTTATGGATAAAAGCGGCCTAGGGTCAGAAACTGTCGCTGATAGATCCCTAATTGGAAGATGTATATTTTATTGAAGAAGTAAAGCCTGCATTTAAACAATTATCCTGATATTTTAGAATCACTCTTTATTTGATACACGCTGTAACTCCTCTGCTGTTTTTAAAGTACAAGCAAATACACAAGTTGTTCCAGGTCAACCCAAGGTGTAAGTTAGCAACCTTAAGAGTCCTGAAAATACTTTGACCAGTTTAGAATATTTTCCTGACTGGTGAAAGAGTGCAGAGAAGAAAGCAATGCTCAACCAGCCGTCAGCAGGCTGGAGTTCCTGCTATCATTAGAATTATGTTACAATTGTTTTTTTGTCTTTCCCCTTGATGTGTTTTATTGTCTGAATTTCTTTGTCCATTTTGATGTTTGTTTTTATAATAAAACAACAACACATGACAGTGGTTGGTGTGTGTGATCTTTCAGTGGCACCATTTAGTCTCATGCTGGTTGTGGATGTGCAATACGTAGCAATAACAAGCGCTGAGAACACCACAGTTTGAGTTTGATGTCGTGGGTGTTGGCTGAGTGTGAATGTCAGCGTAAATCTGATGAAGATGGCTGTGTGAAGTTTATTGGTTTCCTCTTTCACACATTCACTGTGTGGCCCAGTGATGAACACTGAAACACTCCCAGTAATTCACAGAGAGGTGAAACGCCTGGATACATAAGGAGTCCCTGCCACTGGAGGCACAAAGGTGTCAGAGGAGTCAGGACAGAGCAACAAGTACCTAATTATAAAATATCAAATCAATAAATAAAGGGTGAATCATGGTGATTAAAAATACACACACTCATTTAAGGGCATATATTTCATTCCTTAACATTTCAATAAGACATGCTATCAACATATAATGCGGTTCAACACGATATCTGGATAATACAGTAATAAAAGCATTAGCACCTCTTAAAACAGGGGGTTTATTTATTTATTTTATACTCACTATACAGTCCGAACATCTGTCGGAAACAACAAAACCATACATGTTGTCCTAAATGTTTCGGGTGTGCGGAACCTTTCAGGCTTTTATCAACGTGTTTCTAGTCGGACAAAGTTAAGTGACGTGCACCTCAGAGAAGAAGCCGGAAGTAGTGTGTTGTAAACTCACGTGCACAACATGAAAAACATGAAAAACAAAAAAAAGCACAACAATGTGTCCAAAAATGCTAAATTCAAGCCGGGATCGAAGAAGAGAGAAAACAAATGCATCGTAATGTTCGACGACAAAGACAGACAGTAAGTTAAACAGTTAGCTTCAACAGACTGTTTCAGTAGCTTGCTAGCATTAGCTTTCTCCTAAATATATATTTATATTTATAATGTTTACAGTGTTGTAACGGTATCCACAATGTGCGTTATGTGTATGCTGTGTATTGTAAAATACCACTCTAGGTGTTACACTTAAATAATTAATTTCCCAAAACTTATTAATGCTGAACTCAAAGGAAGTTATTCACATTCTCATGTGAACATATTGGCACTGTTAGGCTGTTTATGGATGTGTTTTTATTTGAGTAACTGGCCGAGATGTTAATTTGAATTGTAAATAAGAGTTGTCAATAAACAAAAGTACCGAGCCAACCTGCAGAGACTGAAGTGTCCTCCTCCTCTGCCCTGTGAGGGACTATTTAACTGGTTTCCATAAGCGGAAGGTGGAAAGGAGGAAAGCAGCAGTGGCAGAAATTCGGAAGAAAATCAAGGACGAACAGATCAGAGTCAGAGAAGAAGTAAGTGTAAAGGAAAAGATCTGTTTTGGGTTGACCCAAGTTAAACTGCGAGCACATGCTCATGTGTCTGGTTGTGTGCTTTCAGAGGCACAAGGAATACTTGAAGATGCTGAAGGAGAGGAACGAAGCTCTCGGTGAGTGAAACGTCTGCTGCTGCTCATTGAGCTGATGTTTTTACACTTCAGAATCTGTGCTCATAGTTTTTTGTCCTCATTTGATCCCGTCCCTCAGAGGCTGCTGAAGATGACCTGGAAGAAATGATAACCAGCACAACGAAGTCTGTGCAGTTCGATCACCCCAACCACACCGTCACCGTGACAACCATCAGTGATCTTGACCTCACAGGGGCTCATCTGCTTGAACCTGCAGCCAATCCGGTAAACTGTTCATCTTGTCGTCATCTTGATAAAACTCCAGTTATTGAGGATGAATGATACTGATGGCAGTAAAAGTTCACTAACGCTGACAATCTTTCACTTTCAAGGTCAATGGGGAGGGCAAGGATGAAGAAAAGGGGGAGGGAGAGAAGGAGAAAACGATTGCAATGCCAAGAAAAGCCGGAAATCCAATCATGAACAAAAAGTAAGCTCTCCACTTTGGGATCAGACATTAACGTGTCAATATTTTCGACCTTTTTAGAGGCTACATGGTTGATGAAGTGGTGGTAAATGTGCTACACACGCCAACAGTACAGTGGCGACATAACTGCTGTCTTCAGATGTTCCTTCAACTCATCTTCCAGCCCCTCTCACTCCAGCCACATTTCTTTTTTTTCCCCTCTCCTCTGCTGCTACAGGATCCGCTCCCTGACTTCGTCACTCAGCACTTACACCAGCAAGCGGAAGAGGAAAGGGAAGCAGGAAGGCCGAGGAGGACGAGGCCGCACGACAGACAAGAGACTTGGTGGCACAGAGGGTAAAAACAGAGCCGGGAGGACCAGCAAGTATCAGAGACGCCGAAAGACCGGGAAAAGGGTGCATTGTCAGGACTGAGAGGCCGTGCGGAAATAAATAACTGTGAAGATACTTGACTTCTTGTGTTTTCTTGAGTCTCACAGGCAAACAAATTGGACTTTGGAGTATTTATGCTCCTGTGTTTCAGCAGGACGTGTGTATGCTGAGAAGTTTGTCAAATAAACACAAGCCGACGTGGATGCTTAAGTGTCGGAACCGTGTTGGGGAGTCTGTCGTGACATCGCTCAATATTTCCACAGCACCTGCCTCTTGAAATCTTGTGTTCAGATTTGTACAACTTTTAAAGCAGAACTGTTTTTTTTGTAGTGTTATTTCTTAAAAACATGTACAACCTGTGCTGTATTTACCTATATTTTCATTAAATAAAAGATTCATCTTGCTGGTGACCTCGTGATGCATCCACTGTCAGTGTGCTTTGTGTGGATCTTTTTTCTTGCCATTGTATAATAGGAAACCTGACGCTGTTGTCAACATCCTCTCCAGAGCATCAGGAAATCAACCCTTAGCTCTGTGTTTCCTCCTAGCTCAGTACTACCTGTGTGTGTGATCTAAAGGAGAACCAGCCTCTGTCTCTTACATAACCTTATTCCTTGTTTGAGAACCATATACCACACAACCAATGGTTTTAATGTATGTCAAACCCCCACCTCACCAGTGTTTATTTATTTACGTTAACCTGAGCCAGCGTGTGCCAGCTGTCACTAGCATGAGCGTTTCATTTCGCTGTCTAAAGCCCATGATATTTAATACAACCGCTCAATAGGGGAACCGGCAGGCCACTGGTTCCATGTTGGCTCTAGGTCTGTGTGCTTCAGGGTCTGTCGCTGTGTTAATCGAGAGCCATCATGGCCGTCATGGATGCTTCAGTTTCACTCATTGTCAGAACAGCCAATCGGATTGTTGTGAGAGCTTGGCAGCTTGGGAGGATAGAGAGCATGGGGAAGAGGAGGCATGTGCTTGATGGGGGTCTGGTGGGCAGTTTATCCTCGGACTCATAATGACATATTCAAAGTGGAGCTGACAACCGGAGCCTCTCCTGTCAGGTATTGCCCATAAATTCTCTTTTTTATTTATATATCAAAGCCAGTACTAAATATTGTCCAATATTTTAATTACCCTACTTTTTGGTATGGGTTCATTCATTACTAGAGGCTGTGGTGCTTGTAGAAGCTGTTAGATGACAGTGCATGAGCCTTGTGGTTGGTGGTAATGCTACTCGGTGGGGAGCTTTAAAGTGCTCTGACTGGGTTGTGTTTCACTGTCCTCTGGTGTGATTAGTTATCACCTACCTTAACAGTTCCGCTTTAGATCTTGCATGATCCATGAAATAAAAGATCCTCTTACGTATTCATTCGGAGCCGCTGCTCTGTGAGTACACCTGTGTCCAGTAATGCAGTGTCACAGCCAGACTCAACAGCACATTGGGCTTTTTCATTCTCAAGAAAACTGTAATAGTCTTACTTTTTCTCATTTCATCCCACACTTGTGCAAGATGCTCTGCAAGTTTAAGAAAATAATGAATTGAACATGTGTCATGTGCAACATTTAACATTTCTAATGGTTAATAGGGTCAAAGGGTTGTTTGTGTTATTACTGTTTTATATTTCATTGTGATATTGCTCCTTGTCACTGTCTTGTTTCCCAGTTTTCTCTGTGGGATGCGATGATTGTGCAGGTTACCCCTCTAGACTCACCATGCCCCTCTCCGGCGATGAGCCCATTTGCCCCAAGTTCCAGCCCAACATCTTTGACCCCTCCCGCTGCCACGACTGCCTGCGCCAGAGGCACCTGCATGCTGGCGCGGGGGCGAGCGCCGAGGCAGCACCACAGCAGAAATCCACAGCAGAGACTGGAATTGGGACTAAAACTGGGACTGACACTGGGATTGGATTCGGCAAAGGAGGGCTGCTAACACCGATCCCATCCCAGGCAGAGGAAAGAGACACCAGCAGCAAGGTAAGAAAGGAGAGAGGGCCAGAGAGGAAGGGGGAGAGAGATGAGCAGAGCAGCTTGGTAAAAGGGGTAGAGATGGGAACAAGAGCAGAACATGTGCTGAGTGATGGGATTAGCTGGACCTGAAGGCTAGGCAGGAAGGTGAGCGCATTAGAGGTCACAGGTTAAGTCGGCAAGACACTGTGGCTAGAGCTGAGGTCAAAGGAAACAGAATGAGGAACGACTTTAATAAGTGCCTCAACTTTAAATGTCTCGCAGTTTAGAAATGATGCACAAAATGTCATGATATTTAGAATAGAAAAGAGTCTATTTAAGGAGGTCTTTTCTTAGACAAAAGAACTTATCACTTGATCCAAAAGTCTGTTTCTGTGAGTAAGAGATCACAAAGCATCTTTTAATTTCACAGTCAATTTGTAAACAGTTCATGAGCTCATGTATGTGTCTTTGTTGCTTGTGAGTAAATTAAGAAAAGGTCAGAGAATGACAGGCAACAACGAGGAGCACGGTTGAAGCAGTGGCTCCTATTATAAATTAACGAAGCTGGATCACTTACTGCCCTCTTGGGAATCACTTGTAATAGTAGACAGAGGGGTAACGTACAGAAAGGACGGGAATGAGTCTGTACAGTATTAAAACTCTGACAACTCTACTGTTTTCTGTTTATCCTGCTTCCGTGACATAACCACTTTTGTGACAGTGATTTGTTGCAGTACATAGTATAGTTTGCAGTGTACTACTGTGTAGTTCCTTGGAAATATCTTACCCTAGTTTTCTGGAAGTTGAAGGTATCAGTGCCACTTTCTGACATTTACAGACAGTTTCAGATTCTTTTTGAGATAATCTATTTCAAGAGAAGTGGCAAGAAAAAAAGTAATGAAATATTAATGAGGAAAAGCCACAAGCCAGGTCGAGTTACAGAGGTGTAACCCTAATCGAACGGCAGACTGAACATGTGTGTGTGTGTCAGGGAGGACGGAGGGGACAGACGCTATTCAGCTCACCCTTTGCTCATGGAGATGGATGTTGTGTATGTGCGATCTCACTCTGGTGTGAAGTTGCTGTATATTTGTACCTATACCCTAAAAAAGCTGTGATTTATCATTCATCATTTATCATCATTCATACTGACATTTTGGTAAGCATTGCCTTTGTGTGGAGATCCAGTGCCTCTTCTTCTGTGACTTGGAGAGCGATGGAGTTTGCTGCGACGATGTGATTGGCTCGTGACTTACCTTGTCATCCTATCAGGAGGATTCTGACGGTCTGTCTGTGGTGAGCAGCTACTGTGATGTCAATGGAGGCCAACTTGGTTATCAGGAGAGCTCTTTGTGCATCCTGAGCCCTGACTGTGAGCTTTACATCTGTGACGGCGACGACGACGACAGCACTGACAGGTAGGCATACCGGACAGTGGTAATAAGTCATTTAGGGGAGCTAGGAAGTGGAGTTGTAGACTATTTTAGTATTTTTTGTGTTTTAGTGAGCTAGATTGTCACCACATTACTTCATAGTCTTTTAAAAACACTGTCAAGAGGTACTGTAGTGTGTATATTTTCAGTCTGCTCATCATGTTTTCTGACCTAAAATATCCATGTTGTGTGATGCACTTGCATAGTTACTCTATGAAATTCACATAAACTGATTTGATCCATCTTTTTCCTCTTACGTTTCTCCCCTCTTCCCTTGCCGTCCACACCCCCAATCTCTCACCTTTCCATCTCTACTCTCATCATTCTTCTCCCATCTCCCCTTCCACGTAGCTGTCGTGACCAGAGTGACTACCAAGAGTTCAGTGGCTCCGTCAGTGCAGAGGACGAATACCTGCCAATCCGTCGGCGTTCAACCAAACTCGGCATGACCCGGCTTGACCCTCCACCCCATCGGCCCAACCCTCGGGCCTGGATGGACGAAGCTCGGAGCAGAGACAGCTTCAGCAGTCGATCGGGTACGTGAAAGATAGGATGCATAGGAAGGAGTTGAAAAAGATGCACAATTTACTAGAAGCATAGTAAGGCAAACGAGAAACAGTATCACCTGTTATCTTATTTAAACACATGTTGTCATAAGTATGAGTTCTGTGCACTGGTAGACCGAGCCTTCAGTAAACCTATGACTTACTGCACTTGACCAATCCATATCCAGTTACAGCCAAAGGTGTTCTTTACTTGGTAATACTGTTTGATGTCACCAGCTGAGGTGTCCCAGAGCAATTATCAGTAATACAATATAGCTCAATTTGTGTCAGGAAACCTCTGGTAGTTGCTCAGTAGTTGAACTTTGATGCGTTTGATGTGTCTTATTTCTGTTTCCCCCTCCTTCTTTCTACTTTTGTCCCACTGTGACTTCCCTTTTCTTCCAGGGTTAAAAGAAGACAGAGAGAAGCGTGAAAGTGGCTACTTCTCCCTGGGGAGGGCAGCGGGTGCCCGTCTACTCCATGATAACAGCCCGCCGGCTCCTTACCGCCATTTTGAGAGAGGACATCCCATCTTCAACAGTAGAAACATTGAGCCCAAAGACACCGTCCCCTTCAGAAACCCTAACCTTGGTGTGGCCTCTGAACGGCAGATACTGGAGGCTCTAAATGAAGACCTGCCAGTGGAAGTCCTGCCTCCTGACCCCTATGAAATTGCCGTTGAGGTTGAAGCGCAAGTTGGCCCCCGCTCTCCGAGTCCTACTCCTTTTAAGATAGCGGAGTCGCTAGCCTCCACTCGGCGAAAAGGTTTCAGCAGTTCATATGGCCGGGGAAACCCTTCTTCTCAGGTCTCTTCCTATCAACAGCCAGGATGTTCTGATTCCTCAAGGCAAGGTTTAGCTCTGCAATCTCGCTCTTCTTCTCCCTCACGTGGAAACTTACCATTCAGACGCAGTGAGTCCACTGCTTCCCTCAGCAGGCCTACTGTTGATGGAGGAGGGTGGTCTCGAGGGACAGAGCCAGGGTCCAGAAACTCCTCACAAAGCACTCAGGGGCGACGTGTTGAGTCAGGAACTCTGCCAAGAAACTTTAAATCCTTTGCTGTTTCAGGAAAATCCCAGTCCAGCACTGTGTCTGATTTTAGGAGTGCCTTGAGAAAAACAGAAGTAAGTGGGTCTTTGAGTGGTCGGGGTCGTGACAGCAGAGGCTCATCTCTCTCAAGGAGGGACAACAACCCTTCAGGCCAAATGTCTCTTCGCAAAACTGAAATCCCCAGCAGTTCATATACTGGACGTGGAAACGACAGTCGTACTTCGTCTCCATCTAGGAGAACTTCAAGCCTACGGGACAGTCCCAGTTCCTCACCGCCAAGGAGAAATTACAGCTCGTCTAGCCAATCTATCCTTCGTAAATCTGAATCAATAATGTCTCTAAGCGGACGTAGTCACCATGGACGCTGCGGCTCCCCCATAAGAGAAGGCTATGATATTGAAAGCCAGGCTCTGATACGTAACCCGGCAGCTAGGAATGGACTGAATGATCAAGAACACGAAAGCCCCACCGTGTCTCCATCCAGACGAGGTTATGACACAAGTCAAGTCGTACTGCGTAAGACTGAATCAAACACTGTCAGTGGCAGTCGAGGTCGTGACAGCCGTAGTTCCTCTCCTGGAAGGAGAGGCCATGAAACCCCAACTCATTATCAGCTTAGGAAAACAGATACCAGTGGTTCATTACATGGCCGTAGTCGTGAAAGTCGTAACTCCTCCCCTGCAAGGAGAAGCTACGAAGCTCCATCTCAGTCTCTGCTGCGCAAGTCTGAAGTAAGCAGTTCAGTCAGAAGTCATAATAGCCACAGTACGTTGCCTTCAAGGAAAAGCTATGATGTTCCTGACCAGCACTCACTGCGGAAAACAGAAACTAGCAGCTCCTTTACCAGCAAGAATCACAACAGCCGCAACTCCTCTCCTGCTAGAAAAGGCAACAGTGACCCTCCAGGCTACTCAATCCTCAGAAATGCCACTAATGGAGATTCCAGCTATTCCATTCAGAGAAAAAACACTAACCATGACTCAAAAACTGACTCCAATCGCTCACCATTCTCCTGGCGGGAATCGACTCATTCCCACCGCAGCTCCTCGTTATCACGTGCTGCCTCCCCCTCTAGACAGACCACAAATGGCAGAAGAACGGCTTTCGTCACCTTGGAAACACCCAGGAGCCCAGGCAGCATCAGATCTGGGGTTGGTAGACGTGGCCATGAGGAGCGCTGCCAATCCCCTAATGACAAGAGGCCCTCCCACCGTGTACGGAGCCCTTCTCCTTCACCTCAGATTCAAATGCAGAAACACACCTCCTCCCAGAGCTCCATGGAGTCCTCAGAGTCGGCCCAACCGTCGCTGGGGTCCACAGGACGGAACAGGGAGGAGTACGCCATGATAGCCGACGTGCCGAAGGTTAAAATGATCCATCAGAGAGAAGGGCCGGGCCACATGGGGCGGCCTCAGAACCAGCAGCCATCTCGGAGACAGGAACTTTTTAAACCAGCCAGGTCAGACTCACATTACACCACAACGAATGAAAGGAGTGGTGTTGGCAAAATATTTAAACATTATGTACGTTATTTAAAGGTCATATATATACAAAACTCACCTGTTACAGGATGTTTTTTTAGTCTTTCCACAGTGTTTCCAACAATCACCAACACTGGTTTGGTTGAAATAAATGCAAATACAGTATATTTGTGAAAAGGGCTACAGTGGCCATGACATGAGCTAACATTAATCAAAGTATGTCCACTAAAAGTGTTTGACAGTGTCTGAAAACATTAAGGAAAGGAGCCGTAATATTGCTATCACTCCCGCCCAGGGTCCATAGACAAAAACAGTAATTTGACCACACATATCATTGTAACCCATCATAACTTCATTCAAATTGGACAGAAACAGAATAAAACTCACTACGACTGTCTTTGTTATTCTTTCCACCTTTCCAACCATCCCTAACTCTGATTTGGTTTAAATCAATCCTTAATTCACAGACGATTAAAGTTTGCTCTACCCAGCTGCACACAGAGCAGACCAGCTTCGTAAACAAACCACAGGGAGGCTGCGATAGCAACAAAGGCAGAGGGACAGTGATGTTGTTCTCTGCTCAGGACACAATGACTCTTCTATAACTTTACATAGCAAATCGTTGCTTGCTGCTATATTAATGTTCTAAATCTCACATATATAACCTTTACCGTCATATTGTGAAATAGGCCAGTTACATGTAGTTTCTTGGTATTACTGGTTTGCTTCTTCCACAACATCAGATTGGATGCCCTCAAATCAAAATCAGACACGCTGACAACATGCTCTGCTGTTTCAGCCACTCCCTGACCAAGCATCCCTCCAGAGAGTGGGAAGATGCAGGGGACACCGAGAGAGACTGGCACTATGGCGGCAGCGGGTATCTATCTCGAGCTCACTCCTCCACCTCATTACAGGTAGGCTGGCTTTTTGATTTTGCCTTCCATGTTTTATCAGAGTAACCTTAATCAAGCTAAACATTACTGGGAGAATGTAACATTCAGGAAAAACTGGTAATGACTTGAAAGCAGAGAGAGACACGACTGGGAGCAGAGAGGGAGAGAGAGAGAGAGAGAGAGAGAGAGAGAGAGAGGCTGGGAATTGATCAATAAAATCCTACAGTGGTATGTGTGCTGCATTCCCCCTTGCACAATATAATCCACTGCAGTGGAACTGCAGCCAGCCAGCCAGTGCTCTGTGGTTTTCACCTGCATAATATGTTAATGCCTAACCACATCTTCCCCATACCGTACACCAGATATGGAAAAAGGTCTGTGGATGTAAAACTCCAGAGGTTTCTGTTTGCTCAGTCGAACATTGATTATCTTCATAACTACAAGCTGTTCCTTTCCAGAGGTCTGGCAGTCCCACAGCGGATGAGGGCAGTTCTTGGAAAGGTAGCCACAACAGATCAGAACAAATGCAGGTATGTTATTCAACCAGTCTGTTTACAGTAAATGTTTGTACTCTTACTGTATGTGTGTGTATGTGGAAACAACCGCTCTCCCACTGTGCCAATACGGAGGGTAAAGATACAGCTGTTTTATCCATTATCACCCAATATTTGTAGTGAACATAATAAACCGGTAGCACACATGGTTCAAGTTTATTGCGGGTTCAGCCTATTTCAATATACAGTATCTCTCTGTTACATATTGACCCGACATGCTGGCAGCCAGCGCTCACACACATCCTGTCTATCAATGTAAAGTTTGCATGTACTTGGCACCCTTACCTGCTGTCACATCTACAGTATCTCCAACTGTTTTTAAATGCTCATTTAACGGCTGATTGCTGTGCGTCCGTAGACTTCACCTACACCCTACAGGCATTTCATAAGACTGACTGAGCTTTGTCAATTGTGGTGTGCTGGGGCATGTGTTGAAATTCCTGAACTGAAACCAATAGCTACCAAGAGAGGATTTTGGAGGGACGGGGGAGGTGGGGGGGCCACTTTGTTTGCAAGGCCACAATATTTCTAGTCAGGAAAATAGTGAATTTGTTCTATATGTTTGGAGATTACCAAACTTTTCCATGTTAAGGACCCCGCCTCCAACACACCCAAGAGTTTAGAGAGGTTTGGTCCCGAGGAGAGGGAGGGGAGTGAGACCTCAGTTTGAGCCAGTTTTCTTCTTACGATAACCAGTTATAGGTGCAATGAATCGCACATATATTACCCCCCATGTTGCTGGGGGCCCTACTGGATACCCCCCCTCAGCCCCTGGAGTTCCCCGGACCGCGGGTTTGTCTCTCAGAGCCAGCATCGTGTGGTTTGGTAGGGCAGGCTTGTTTTCTCCAACGATCTTCGCGGATCCGCCCAGGAAGTGGCTGAGAGAGCGAGAGAGAGAGAGA